TCTGTCAGATGTGGGGTTGGTGAATATCTTTTCCCAGTCTGTGGGCTGTCGTTTTGTCTTGCTGACTATGTCCTTTGCCTTACAGAAGCTTCTCAGTGTCAGGAGGTCCCATTTATTAATTGTTGATCTCAGTGTCTGTGCTACTGGTGTTATGTTCAGGAAGCGGTCTCCTGTACCGATTAATTCAAGGGTATTTCCCACTTTATCTTCTAGTAGGTTCAGTGTGGCTGGGTTTATGTTGAGGCCTTTGGAAAGCTTTGTTTTAACACTTTTAAAAAACTCACTAACACAGGCTGGAGAGATGATTCAGCAGTTAAGAACACTGGCTGTTCTTCCAGAGGACCTGGTTCAATTCCCAGCACCCACATGGCAGCTCTCAACTGTCTGCAACTCCAAATTCAGAGTACCCAACACCCTCATGTAGGCAAAACACATGCACATAAATTTTTTTAAGTTTTAAGTTATTAACAAATTAAACAAATACATCCTTTGATTTCCAAGATTTTTTTTCTTTTGAGTTTTATAGAAATGATAGAAGGCTCTGAAAATGCAAATATGTATAGTCCTTCCTTAGAATCCTCAGAGGATTGAGTACCCCTAACCAGGTACTAAAATGTCTAGATGCTCAGGTCTCTTCTATAAAATAACAGTGTTTGCATATGCATGTAACACATACAATGTAAATAAATGTGGTTTTGTTTTGTTTTATTTGTTTGTTTCGTTTTTGGCTTTTGAAGACAGGGTTTCTCTGTGTAGTTATGGCTGTCCTGGAGTTCACTACATAGACCAGGATGGCCTTGAACTCACAGAAATCTGCCTGCCTCTGCCTCTTGAGTGTACCACCACTGCCCATATTAAATGTGTTTTTTAGACTGAAATATTTAAATATTTCAGTGCAAAAATGACATGCATTCTGTAGAAAACATACTTTGAATTATAATCTCTTCTTGCTAGGCATGAGCAATATGGCAGTTTCTTACTATCTTGCTATACTGAACAATAGCAGAGCAAACCATGGTCTCCAGTCAGTCACCAGGGTTACAAAGAGAACCTCTCATATTCTACAGTGCACCCTGTTGCTGAGTTATGATGTTTTATAGGTTAGGTGCACTAAAAGCAATTTCATCTTAGATATTGGCAATTTATGGTAGGTTTACTAAGACTTAAGCCCACTGTAGGTGAGGAACATCTCTACTTAGAATCAGTCCAATTCCATTCACACTAGCAAATACTATGTAGTCTCTAAGTGAATAGTGGTTATATTATATTGCTTTCCATCACCATCCCTCCTCCCATTTCAGTCTCTTTCTTTTCCTCCTTAGCTAGTTAAATCCATGAATGGGGAACCTTTGCATATGGAGAGCCCAGTGTGCCACTTTTGCAATACGTATCATTATCATGAAACTTCTTTATAATAAAGTACCATCAAGACGAACCTTAGTTTAGATTTTGACCAGCAGAACAAATCAATTAGGGTGAATGTCTGCAGTCTGTTATAAAATGTTGACACTTGCCCTTAATTGGCTAATAAGAAGGACCAGCCAATAACAGAACATGCAAATTAGATGTGTCCGTGATTAAAGTAAATCAGGATCATGCTAAAGGAAATGAATTTGGATATCTATAATTAATGTGTTCTGTGGTTGAATTGAATGAAGACTTGGTTGGGCCTGTTGACAAGCCATGCAGAACTAGTATATTCTCTTGATGTAATGGGATTAAGTATTACAGACACATAATAAACAAGAGGTGCAATCAGCCACTGAGCCCAAAGATGCAATTATCTACACTTCTGGGATCCTAAAGCATTTTTCCTCTGGAACATTGGGACCAAGTCTGATACCCTTCAATTCAATGTTCCTCTGATATGGCTTGCTACAAAAGAGCCATGTGTTCTAGTATCTAATCACCCTATGTTACTTTGGTCACAGGGGTTTCTTTACACATGTTAGAGTAGTAAGAGACTTCCAAGGACCAAGAAAGCCATTGTTGAATCTTTTCTTTTGCCGTTGAAGTCTGAGCTTCTAGTTACTCCATTGCTTTACAGATCTGGCAGGATGAGATGTTCATTTCCCCTCCAAAGGAAAGAAATTGACAGCTGTCTCTTAGGTAATTTCCTGTACCCCCTCATAAGCAGTTCTATAAGTCTATGATGAAAACTTCCCACAAATATACATGCAGAAGTGCGCACACACACACACGTACACTCTCCCAGAGAACATCTCTGCCAGTCCCTTCATTCACACCAGGCAATGGAGATGCAGAGGGATTCTCAGTGAGTCATCTATGAAGCTTTGGTAGAGTAGGGACAAGACTACACATTTTCCAACTTGCATTCTAGCACTTGTCTACTCCATCCCTCTGATAAATTGTTCCTTCAAATATGAGTGACAACAGTTACCTGCACTAACAACCTTTCCAATTAACAAAAATCTCAGGCTGAATGAAAGTAAGCCATTCAAACTTCTTCCCTCGGAACCTCCAACATCTGAAACAGATGATGGGGGTTCACCGAATTGATGATTTAGCCCCCAACATGGCATGGTTGCCACATATACTGCTACCCATACACTGAGTAGGTTTTATCCTATGTGGAAGGTTGGTTGTCTAGACATAACGACAACCATATTAAAGTGATACCCATTCAAACAACAAAACTGACTAAGTAGTCTTTCATAATCAACCTCACAGATTCAATAAGAAAGCTAGAAATACATGATTTGCTATTATGCCATTATTCTGAAACTTATTTTAAAGAAGTATTTAATGTTAACAGTTGCTTACTTCTTGTCTTTCAGACACAACGACATAAGGGAACAATGCATTCAAAAGATTTTACAAAAGAATTTACCAAAGAATTTGGGTAGGTAGGAAGAGCAAGTGCTGAAGGGAGACATAGAATAAAGCCTGGCTAATCAGATAAGCATGCATATAAAATCAAATCCCCCAGGACTTATTTGGATTCTTTCTATTGGACTGGGGCTGGTGTGCTGACTAAACACACTTCACACTTTCCTTGACATTGACGGTAAAGTCTTGGAAAGGGATTCATATTTCTTCTCTTCTTCCTCATCTCAGGAAACTGAAAAAAAAAAAACAAATATCCCCCACACTCGGTTATCTGTTGTCACAACCTAGAGTTATTTGGGAAGAGGAATCTCAGTTGAGAAAATGTCCCAATCAGATTATATAGGCAAGTCTGTAGGGTGTTTCTTTCTTAATGATTGACATGGGCAGGCTCAGCCCACAGCAGGGACAGTGTCACCTCTAGGCAGGTTATTGTAGGATGTATAAGAAAGCAAACTGAGCAAGCCATGAGGAACAAACCAGTAAACAGCACCCCTCAGTGGCCTCTGCTTCATTTCCTGCATGTACATTCCTACCTTGAGTTCCTGCCCTGATTTCAGATGATGGACTGTGATAAGCAAGGTAAAGTAAACCCTTCCCTCCCCAAGTGGCTTTTGGTCAGGGTGTTTATCACAGTGATGGAAATCTTCACTAAGACAAGCCCATTGACTTAGCTCAGCTAAATCCTCTCCAAGCATTACACTTCATGGGAATAAGAGAGACCACTATTTCTAATCTATTAGTAGACAGGAATGCTAGGTACAAATATTAGCTACAAATGAAGATCAGAAAACTGGATTCAGATCCATACAGAGAACATAACTAGTCAAAAGTAAATGGGATGCACTTGGGAGGAGAGGCTGTATGGTAACTGAGTCAGAAGAAAACTTAAATTTGAATGAGAAACCTGACACCAAAGGTTTACCCATAACAGCAGAACCTCTTCTGGAGTTTACATATTATAGGACTCACAGGTTCAAGATAACCATTGCCAAGTACCCATTTTAGTGTAGGTGAAAGACTGCAAACTGGAGATATAAATCTCCACCTAACAAGGATGCAAAAGATGCTATTCGAGAGTAGAGTGTATCAAACTACCAGAGGGTGGACATAACAGCAACCTGTCCCCATGAAGAAGCAGTGAGACTTCCAAAACCTGGCTTGTAGGCAGGAAGAGCTCCTGGAAAAAAGCCATGTGAGGGATTTGTGCCACTCTAGGTCTGCTGCCAGCTGGGTGGCCATGTGGCAAAGGTACTTAAGAGTTCCAGTTTCTTACAAGAGAATTATTTTGTTCACTTTGCAGGGTTTCTATAAGAAATTTATAAGAAAGCACCTAGCCCCATTCTTTCTAGTGTGAGTGTTTTGTTGTTTTTCTCTAAAGACCATCTAAGTCCTTGCCATTATAGCGCAAGAAAACAGGTTTTCTTCCTTGGTTTTTATTTGAGTCAAAGGGGTGCCATGATAAAGGACCCGATCAAAGTTATTTACTGTAAAATCCAATATTATAGTTACAGGGGGTCTAACACTGTTCACGAGGATGAACAACGACGGTAAGTGTAAAATGTTTAGAAGTATGTCTTTTGTAGTTTCTTGTGGCAAAATTTCCCATGTGTTCATTTTCAGAAACAGTATTTCCATCCACTAAAAATTCCTGCTTTCCACTATGTGATAATTTAGCTCAAGGTCGTTATTAGTGCAAATGACCAAACCTGAAAAATATGGCCTTCACATCAGAGCCCTGAATAAAGAGCTCTAATGGGATTAGAATGCATTGCAAGAATTACAACATGAACAGCTCAAGAAATCTTAATTTATAAAAGGTCACAGAGTTACAAAAAACATCTCTCACTTCAACTAATTAAATGAAATTTTAGTTAAACGGCACCTTACATATTGGCATTGCAGCTGCAGGTGCATTTAAACAGCATCTACACAGGTATAATTAGCACAATTAGACATGGGTAGAGGTGCAAACACCATTCCTAATTATATTGATATAATCAGTTTTATTAATGCTTTATGGCAACAAAAGTGACATCTGACAGTAGCTCACAATTCGCAGCAGAACCTGATAGGAAGCATTTTCACATATGAAGGCACCAAAAGCCGGGCAACTGCGAAAGAAGACAGACAGATGGACAGTGAGTTCCTACCTGTGACGATGCCATAGTTGGGGGGCTCCAGAATCACCCCATAAAACTGGATGATGTTCCTGTGACTGAGGACGCTCAGTATTTCAGCCTGTAGAAAAACCAAAACAAAATGTCTCATCACACAGGCTTCACGGTCTCTTCCTTTCGCTTACATTTACAAAGACACGCATGCTCAATAAGGATAGGATACTGACAAAATTGCCTTTAGAAGCATGCTCTTTTAAAAGTCTAAAACTTCCTGAAAAGGATTGAAATGGCAACAAGAGTCACAGCTATTAGACGTGGCAATGGTGGAGGATGAAGAGGTAGACAGCACATTTATTTTCAGTAAAAACCCCTTTCCTAGTAGCCAGATATATATTTTTTCTGTACACTATCTCGTTGGGGTGGGCGTGCAGCAAGCCTGGGCGTTTATTAGTTGAGTAAGTCAAAATTAAGCTAGAGGTATTCAGGCACTAAGGCTGTGGTTCTCAACCTTCCTAACACAGTCACCCTTTAACACAGTTCCTCATGCTGTGGTGACCCCCAACTGTAAGATTATTTCATTGCTACTTCATAATTGTAATTTTGATACTGTTATGAATCATAATGTAGATATCTGATATGCAGGATATCTATCTTATATATAACTCCCCAGAGGGGCCATGACCCTTAGTTGAGAACCACAGTACTAATGGGATAGATTCATTTACATTCTGTATTTATATTATACCCATTTACAGTAATTTTCCAATAATTAATTAGAAATACATTACTGCTGTCTTTCCATGTAAATGCAGAAAGGCAGATTTCTGATATTTGCTGGAGATCTAATAGGGGGCCATACTGGTACAGTTTGAAATATATTAATATTAGGAAACTTTCCAAGGATGACATGGCAAAATAAGTTACATTTATTAAAGTTACCTTTTAAGTTAAAAATGTCATAGTGCATTTGATATTTGATAATATCTAAAAGAGGATATTGTATGTGCTGGGATAGTTTTATGTCAACTTGACACAAGTTAGAGTTGTTGGAAAGGAAGGAACCTAAACTGAGAAAATGCCTCCATGAGATCCAGCTGTAGGTCACTTTCTTAATTAGTGATTGATTGGGGAGGGCCCAGTTCATTGTGGTGTGGTGCTACTCCCAGCTTGGTGGTCCTGGGTTCTATAAGAAAGAAGACTAAGCAAAGGCACGGAGAGCAAGCCAGTAAGCAGCACCCCTCCATGGCCTCTTCATCAGCTTCTGCCTCCAGGATCTTGCCTTGGCATTTTATCACAGTAATTGTACCCCTAACTAGGACAGAAATTGGTATGAGGATAGTGGGGTATTGCTGTGACAGACAAGACCATGTTGTTGGGGGCGGTGATTATGGAAACATTGGACGTACTTAGGCTTTGGGCAAGAGAAGCCAGTGAGTGTTCAGTGCTTTCTGAGCTGTTCTGTGGGAGTTTGGAAGAGGAGAGTGTTGAAGGCAATGTGGAAAATAAGAGCCTGACTTGTGAAGTTTCAGAGAGAAGTTTAAAGACTCTATTGGCGCCATTTGTTACTTTGAATTTGGACTCTGTGGTTCTGGTAGCTGGAGTTGAGGCGTCTGCTGTGGCTAACAAGATACCAGAACTCCTTAGGACATTGTGTATATAAATCACATATATTAAAGTCTTATTACCAGAACTCATTAGGACATTGTGTACATAAATCACATATATTAAAGTCTTATGGCTTTATGGAGATAAACTATAGCTAATCAAGAAATTTAAAATGGAAGGAGGCATAAGTTAAATATAGTAAAGGTTTAACATTTTAAGTCTACAGCATATTATTGTCCACCAGAAAATGGATTTTTAATTCTCCAGCCCAGAAAGGGAACACCAAGAAGAAAGTCAGAAAGGATGCCCCATGGGAATCTGCAAACTATAAATTAGTGGGTGTGGGGGGGGGCACTGCTACACATTTATTCCCATAAAGTAAGAGTTTAGATTTCATGAAAAAAAAACACTCTTGTGACTAGTGACTAGGTAGAAAGAGGGTTGGCATGGAGTTAATACTGGCAAGAATACAATACTGAATGGTTCATGTTTGCTTCAGTAGCCAATCTCTTCTTTTATCTGAGCTAGCTGGAAGGGTAACTTGGGCTAAATTTCAAAAGAATGACTGTCTAATCATGCAGAAATTTATGTTCTATAGCTCACTGTTGACTTAAACTTTGGGAGATAGGATTTGATGGCAGTGCTTCAAAACTGTCACTGTCCAAGACAAACAAGCACCTTTGCTGGAGAATTCTTTCTTGCTTTTCACTCTTTGAACATGCCCTGTGTCTTCTGTGAACCTTTCAGATACCTGTTCTGGCAACCTAACTGCTCAGTGCTAGTGATGTCATGGTGATAGGAGGAGACTCTTCAAACACCAATTTACTAAACAGCATAGTACCTAACAACAACCTATAAACACTTGTCTTTTTACCCACAGCTAAGTTTAGTCTTCACCACTTATTAGGGAAGACTTCTCTTTGCAACAGACACAGAGCACTACAGAAAACCACAACTAAGCAAAACGCAGAGTTGTAGAGTCATGTTCCAATGGATGTATCTTCAAAACATTCCCAAACCTAAGGCTCAGGGAATATTGCAGAAGGTATAGAAAGATGGTAAGAACCAGAGGTTCAGGGAGTTTGCCGGCAGATTGTGTCTCCTTGTAATATCAGAAGCTACACCCATCAAGTCTCACCAACATGACTGCCTACACATGAATGGAACAAGAACAACAATACGCATGCCAAAGTGGATGGGAAGATGACTCCGACGCTCAATCCTACACAAAGAACTATACACAACTGCGGAAACCTGGGAACTGGAGAGACAACCTTCCTCAGAGAAGGGCACACCAATTGGTTGTCCGGTGCCAAATGGTCAGCCCTAAAACATACATGTAAGTAACATTACATGGACTGAATATATTACAACAGACACACAAACACATACACATACACACATATATCATGCATTACAACTAGTGAAAAAAGAGGTGATGAATTTGAAGGAGAGCTGGGAGATGTATATGGAAAGTTTTGGAGGGGCAAAGAGAAGGGAGAAATGTAATCATATTATTATTTCAAATATTAAAGACAGAAGACAGAAGCTTACTCAGCCTTGAACCTTCTATTCTCATTTTCTGTCCTAGACATTCTGCCATCTATTTCCAGAAACGATTCTGCAGGTGATCCACACGCTGTTTCTTCATGCTGCTGCAACAAGTGCTCCTCGGCAATGCACTGAGATGGAACCCTACGTTCTGCAGTGGGGCCTGGTCGTGTAGGCTGCTCTTCCTACACTTGGCCAGCAGCAGGCATGTATACTGAGCAGCAGGCATGCAAACCACAGACACGCCAGGCTCTCCATCAGAGGGAAGTTTGTGAAACAGGAAAACCCTGGTTTCTCAGTACAGAGCACTACTCATCTTCATGACCACAGAGCCCACAACTGCTATCCTTAGTAGGAGAGTGGAGAGGCAGGGGGCAGCAGACCTGCAAGTTCTCAAGGCAGTACTTAAAGAGCTAGGAGGTCATCCTACCTACTTCCTTCAGGCCAGGGGCATCCTTTCTCTGCTAATCACTTCACACTCTGATCACCAAGACAAATAAAGGACACTTCTCAATCTCAGGCATAAGGTTGCATGCATCAAGTTTCCAGGGGCGCAAATGGACCCAAACTAGAAACATGCTGTCTGATTCACTGCATTCATGGCTTGGAGCATCTTCCTAAAATAAACCATTTTTTTAAAAGTGACACAAGAACAATTTACAAAGCAGGATGGGGGTGGGTGGGAGTTTAATCACCAGAGTGTCAGGCGCAGGTCACGCTTTTTGAGTCACTTTGGGTTTAATGAGACCCATTCACAAACAGTCACATGACAAGCAGCAAGCTCTACAGTTCTATAGATTCTCTTTCCAGTGAGGCACCCCAGGTACTCTGGGAATAAGAAAGGCTAAATGAACTGAATTCAGGCTCCATAACAGGAGCCCTATATCCCTAAAGAGACTTGATGTCATAAGGACATTTTTTTTTCTTTTAGGAAACTGGTTACAGATGCTAAGAAAAACTAAAGCAGTCATTCTCCTCATGTTTCTTGAAAGCTGAAGTCACTTGAGGCTTTTATTGGCCACGCCAGCAGAACTGGGAAGTCTCTGGTTGCTCAACGGTTTTCCTGGGTGGGATGCTGCAGCTGACTCAACACCAGGAGATGGGCCTTGGCCCTCCAGGTTAGGACATGCCTAACTAAAACTGAGATTAGACTAAACTGGCTGAGCAGGAGGTTGGCAAGAACTTCATGCAACAGTGTTCAGTCCCAAGCCTCAAAGAATGTCTCAAACAACACGTTGGCTAAGAGATTTACATTCATTGTGTTTGCAACTGGGTGTAGTTGTGGTTAACATGAAAAAAATAAAATATTAAAACAGCCTGTGCTCAAATTTGGGTGAAAAAACTGCATGTAAAAATCTGGCTTTTGATCACAATGTACCTTGTCAAAGAGTTGGCCACATTGTGCTAAACTATTTTTAGAAAGCCTATTTCCAAGCTGGGCGTTGGTAGCACATGTCTTTATTCCAGCACTTGGGAGGCAGAGACAGGTGGATCTCTGTGAGTTCGAGGCCAGCCTGATCTACAGAGTGAGTTCCAGGACAGCAAGGATTACACAGAGAGAAACTCTGTCTCAAAAAAAGTCTATTTCCAAAGAAAGCCTTGGGGCTTGCTTTCTTCCTAGAAAATGACTTGGATGGTCACATCCCCTGATTCCTTTAGTTTTAAAGTCTATTAATTTCTGATGACAATTAATGTATTACTAATACCATTTTCCATGGAGGGGGTATTCGATAACTACCCAGTGAACTGGACTGGTGTGTTAGGACCTCTTCCTCTGCAGTGTGACTGGCTTCAGTGGGAATCTGGCTTTCCTACTTTACAGGGAACCCACAGAGGTGCATCAAGGCTTCATGTGTAAATAAAGGCTTAGTTTTTTGTATGGTACTACCTGGAGATGGAGTTAGGAGGTGGGGCCTAGATGGAAGTCTTATGCCTGAAAAGGAAAATGGAGCCCTAGCTAATTTC